CAAGGCAACAGTTTGACCCAGGATCCTGTTTGTCTGTCAAGGTCAGCTAAGCAGGTCAGCATATGGGAGTCTCCTTAAGGGTAAGACTTCGGGTACTCATTGTCTTATTTTCCAAATAGCAAAAAGCTAGACCCCTATTGTGTATGCTAGACTAACTGTGCAAACTTCCCAACCATTTGCTCCAAAAGGTCTGAATGACCTGTTTGAAGCAAAGGGGGGGGGAGAGAGGAAGTTGAGAAGAGTTGCATATGTGAGGTTACACTCTAATACAAAGGAGATACAACTATGAGTTGATAAGTTAAAAAAAAAAGAGAAGATTTGCTTTATGTCCTAAATCTTTGAGAATGAAGTGAGGCTAGAGCTCTAGTGGTCAGTTGCTGGAGTTAGGACAGAAGTAGGTTCAGAAGCTGAAAGCTCAGCTCAGCACATCAACAGTTATTCCTAACTTCTTTGCTTCAAAGAGTTCTGAACAACCCTTTGAAGCAAGGGGGAGAGGAGTTGAGGCCTATCATATTTGATAAATGATAGAATAAAGCAATAAGTTAGAAAATCATATTTGATAAATTATACAATAAAGCAACAAGTTGAAAAGCAAAGGGAAAGGAGAGTCATAAGCTATAAATTAAACACAAAATGTTACAATGATGACATTTTTTTTTCAAATTCCGTTTCAAAATGTTATAATTCTGAGATAATTAACCCAAAGCTACAAAAAAAAAAAACTTGCTCTGCATCCTAAGTTTCTGAGGGGGGAATAAGGCTAGAGTTCTGTTGGTCAGTTGTCGGTGCTGGGGCAGAAACAGGTTCAGAAGTTGGAAGCACAATAGAAGTGATGGACAAATCAACAGAGTTTGGGAAAGATCCAATGAAGGGAGCTTCTGAATGTGGGGCCTTTGCAGAAGGTGGGAGAACTGAAGCCTCAATGGCAAGGTCAGTAGGGGAGGGGAGCTCGGCAGTAGGGACGTTTGAAGAGGCGGGGGGCTCACCTTCACCTTTTGCTTTAGCCACCTCTGTGTCTTCATTGCTAGGAACATCAAAGTCGAAATTCAGGCCAGGTTAGGTCTCCTCAGCTTTTTCTTGGAAAACAAGCCACCTAGAGACCAATTTGGTTGCAATATCATCCCGCAGCTTGATAATGTCTTTGTCTTTTACAGATATAGCAGCATTCAGCTCTTCAAACTTGTTGCAAAAGGGCGCCATTAGCATTAGATAGGGCAAAAAAATCTCTGGTTAAACTTGCAAAAGAGCTCTGAGCAGCAGAAGCCTCCTGGCTAGCCTTGGCCCAGGCTTCCCTAGCCTTTCTCTCCCCCTCCTCAGCTTTGACCTTCGCAACTTTTAAGCCCTCAATGGTGGAAGCCTGATTCCCTACTTTGTCTTGTAGCCCTTGTAGCTGAGCTAGCAAATAATCATTTTCAAAAGCCAACTCGGCAACCTTAACTTCGTAAGCCCTCACCATTTTGGCAGAATTCTCTGCAAATAGGACCCTGTTCATCAAGCTCTTGGCATGGATAACAGACTTGGGGCAAGAGGACAATAGACAAAAGTTAGGAAAGTTCAAAAAGAAAGAAGAGGTCATAAATGTGAGTAAGAACTTACTGCGGTTAATCCATGAAGAACAGAGCTTATTGAATCCTCAAGAGATAGTGAAAAGACCCTTTTTATATCAGCATTGGGAAGAATAGAGGAGAGGGCCGTTGCAGCAAGGTCGGAGTTATCAAGAAAGAAGCCCTCACTTTTGCCTGCCTTGAGGAGCTCCTCCTTCATAGCCTTGGAACCCACAGGAAGGGGAGGATTGATTGGTGTAGCAGGCGGATTAATAGAGGTCAAGATCTAGGAGGTCGTCTCCACAGCTCTCTCGACCTCAAAAGCAGAGGGGGATGCCTATCCTAATGCAGCAGCACTTGGAGTAATAGGAAAAGCGCTTTGGGAAGAGAAGTCTGGGATAGCTGGAGTAGAGGGAGTGAGTGACATATCTGTCCTTGGCACCTTGGTAAGAGGAGTGGAGCCATCGGCAGAGCTAGGTCTTGACTTGCGTTTGGCGTTGATCTTGTTGCTGCCCTTGATGTTCTTCATTTGGGAAAGTTTAGCCCTGAGTTCAGCAGCAATGGGCTCAATTGAGGATGAACTTGCGGGACCTAAGAATAGCTAAGCCTCGTCCTTAGACAGAGAAAAGAGGAGAAAAGGTACAAAGAAAAAGGTAAAAGCATACCCAATATATCTTCGGAGGAAAGTGGGATGGGGCCAGAAATGAAAAGTGGAAGGGGAGCTTCAACCCTCACCTCAGGAAGACAGAACCCGTGTTCTACGAGAGCCCAACGTTGGATGAGCTTAGAATATTTCTCTGGTTTGCACTTTTCCAATTTCTGCAATACTCGCTCCTCTTTAGCGCTGAGCTCAGGTCAGATACCTAGAAAACCAAGAAAAATAAGAAATAAGTTAACAAAGCAGTCAGTCTTGGATTAAATACGGTCTGGGTAGAAACATATCCAAATTATCGGGGGCAGACCACTCTGTAGGGATGGGGAGGGTATCAATTTTATCCTCTGAGTTGAACTCCCACTGTGTACCGCCTACAAAGAAAAAATATTTCTTTCAGCCCTTATGGGAGCTTGGGTGGTCAGAGATGATATGTTGGGCTTTAGTCCCCTTGGAGATATACAGGAAACCATCAGAGGAAGTTTACTTAACGTTGAACAGCTCCATAAGTAAGGAAACAGTAGGGACCCAAGCTTATAGTCCTTAAAAAAGACTAGTAAACCCACAAGAACACCCCATAAGTTGAGAGAGAGCTGGGCAGGACAGACATTGAAGTGTTGAAGGACACCTTTGATAAAGGGATGAATGGGAAGCGAAGTTCGTTATCAAAAGCTGCCAGGAAGAAACAGACATTCTTATGGACATGGTGAACATATATGGTGTACTTATCAGGACTCCAGGGGCTGAACCCCTAGGGGAAAACGAAAGTGAGCACTGAGAAACTTCAGGTTAGAAGGCGTAAGTCTGTTGGGACCTACAAGTTCAGTGTTCCTAAAGGCAGCCCCTACGCCTGAAACAACCCTTATCAGGTCTATTAGGCATGGGAGAAGAGGTGGCGGGGGCCTCCTCGATTTTCACCTCTACCTCGACAGAATCTACACCAAGAAAGTTGTCAATCTTGTCACCTACATCCCCTAAATCAGAATCTCTTTCGGCAGACCTATCCCCTAAGAGGGAAACAGAGGAGGGAGTTGCTCTAGAGGAGGCAAACATGATTGGCAAAGAGAAAGGTAAGTCGAAAGGATGATAAAAAGGAGGAATACTAACTAAACACCCCCTGATAATCCTAGGGTCAACACTGTACCTCCCAACATTAAGAATTCGCACAGTGGAGTTCCAATCCACAAAGCGGGGAAGAGGAGATAGGCAACGATCGCGATTCCAAAAAAAAAAAATTGAAAAACCCAGAAAAATAATGGCCACCTCGAAGTCGAGGGATCCAGAGTGAGGAAAGGCAAGAGAAAGAGAAAGGGGCAGAAGGAAACGTACCTAGACAGGAAAGAGAGCAACAAATAACAGCCAAAGAACAAAATTGGAGGAGAGAAACAAAGCAGGATTTTGAGTCGAACCCAGAAAGCACAGTCTAGAGCAGAGAATAAGGGAATCACGTGGAGGAAAACCTAGAAATCACAGAGAGAAAGAGTCAGAGACGAAGGTGAACAGCGTAGAAGATGAACGGTGGTTTTGTACGTTTTCTTTTAGCCGTTTGAGCATTTAAGGCTTGAAAGACATGGGATGAGGCGTGCAAGGGAACCAAGGTAGCCATGATTGCTGCAACCGTCAAAAAGCCCCTCCCACATGCATCTCACATGCAGACTAAGGTCAGCTAGGCGCAGGTCTGGTCCAAGGTAAAATCAGCTCAGCCCATGCCTAAGCTCGCTTGGGCCAAGTGCTAGGGGACAACTGATGATACCTCAAAATAAATCCCAACTGCCAGCTTAGGAGGTCAGCTCAGCCCAGAAGGTCAGACTAGACAAACAAAACTTGGAAAAGTAGAGCTGGAGGTCCCTTTGAGATAAGCAAGGGCAATAACAACAAAGACAACAACTGAATAATCACAAGAGGTTCTCAAAGCGTTAGGAAACTATAATCAAGACACCTAATTTTAACCAACCGAGATCTTCTCCTAGAATTAGGGAGAACCCCACGAAATAAGGGCAAGAATTTTGGCCAGGATTCCACTTAGCAGGGAATGACCCTATAAATGCACTGTAACATCTCCTAACAGAAAAAAAAACTCGAGTGACAATAGGAAGCCATAACAACTTTGTAATCATTGTGAATAAAAACGAAAGGAGCAAGAACCTCCATTGAAGAGTGGACTAGCCGAGCTCCTGAGCCGGTGAACCACTATATTTTCACTGTATACACCCCCTTTAATCCCCGAGAATACTTCACGGTAGCATCATACACGAGCCTCGTAGCTCTGATCCATGCTCATCTCACATTATTTTCATCTTAAGCTCATCCACGTTGATATACGTCATCAAAATCTTGGTAGAAATTTTAGTGGACGTAACATTTTTGTTATAATAATTAAATTTTGTTACGTATTTTAATCGTTCAATAATAGATAAATAAAATGAAAAAAATAAACTTCGCCATTTTACATAGTATAATAATTATTTGAAAGAGTAAGATTTACTTTACCCCTTATTAAGTTTAGTTATTAGTAGAGACTATTATGTCACATGATATTAATAATGTAATGTAGTGTAAGTGTTATAATGAATATTTTCTACCCTTTCGTCTTCCACAAGAATCAAGGGCAAATCAGTCATTGTACACACTCACACCGGTCCCACTCCAACTTATAAATACCAAACACATTAAAAAGTATTGGCACACTTCTACACGGCTACAAACCTTTGACATACAAACAATACTCTCAGAGAATTCTTCTGTTTTTTTTTTTTTTTTGAGACACTGTTTTTGGATAATATTTTATTGGCATGACGGTGAAGAGAAGCAGAGAAAATGGAGAAGTTGAAGCACTGGCGATGGCCAACTATTTGATGCTTCTCTCTCGCGTAAGTCAGACTAAGTCATCATGTCCTGATCGTCTTTTTGAGTGTAAGACTTGCGGCAAAAAATTCACATCCTTCCAAGCGCTTGGTGGCCACAGAGCGAGTCACAAGAAACCTAAATTACTGGCGGTAGACCTTCTTCATCCAGCAAGTCAATCGAAGCTTAACACACACAAGTGTTCCGTTTGTGGCCTCGAATTTGCAATAGGACAAGCACTTGGTGGGCACATGAGACGCCACCGTGTGGCTGTGACAGAAGCTAGTAGTAAAGAGTTGACAACAGAGAATAAACAATCAGCGATGCCCGTGCCGGTTTTAAAGAAATCGAATAGCAAGAGAGTTATACGGTTAGATTTAAATTTGACACCGGATGAGAATTGTGGAGTTGGGAATGGGGAAGATAGGTACGATGGGCTCTCTTACTTGAATCTTTTTCATACTCCAAAGCTATTTTTATGTGGAAATTAGATTTTTTTTATTCTTTTTCGGATGCATAGGGTATACGGTTAGTTTTTTCTTCTTTTTTAAATTCAACATGTATGTTTGGATAGCTCATATTTTTATATTTAAAATAATATTATTTTTCAAAAAATTATTATATTATGACATATTGATAATAGATATCATTTAAACTAAAACTCATTGATAGTTTAGAGCTCATAATAATTGAGTTCTAAGTTTATTTTTTTAATTTATTTTGAAAAATTATAATTTTGTTGAGTAGCTATTATGAATTTTGATTGTAGTATACTCCTTTGAAAGGATTGAAATCCGAACTCAATATTAGAGCACGTAATTTTCAATTAAAATTTTACTTATATTCGATTTTCAAACACATACATTTGTAAAATTTTTAACATAATTAGGATTTTTTTGTGTTGTTTTACACCCATTATGTGGTTGAATGAGAATGAATAAGAGGCTCTGGAAAAAGAGAATAGGGAAGGGTTATATATGTAAGAACGAATTTCGTGCAAATACGAAGTTAGTGTATATAATTAATGTATGAAGAAATTGTGAGGAATTGAATAATGGATCTCACGTGACATTTGACGTTGGGCCACAATGAATCGTTAGCAACACGGGAATTGCTTATCACATGTAAGTCCTATAGGAAGTGGTATTAAAAAAAAAATTTCGTGAATTGGACTATTTTTTTGATGAAAAATCTTAGAAAAAAGAAGTGCAGAATTTTTGTGCTGGAAATGGTTTATTTCATGTATTTATCAATCAACAGTCTATTTTTGTAAGGAAGTGAGCTTTTTGCCCGTTTCTTTCTTATTGACCCGGGTTACTAATTCAGGTTAATTTAACCATACTAAACTTTTTAATTTTGTATCCCGAACGGTTACATTCGTAAATCTAACATATGTGGGTTGTGTTTGGGTCTAATTTCTATATGTTCTACATACATTTGTTTTAGGATATGCTTATAGAGAAACTCTAAATGCACATAATCACTTTAATATTATGCGTTCAAGTTAACTACCCTCTCACATGCGGTGTTAAAAGGATTGATCGACTACAATACAACTGGATCAAATTGTACCTAATTTGGCACTTTTGATTTTACCATCATTTTACATTTCATGTAAATCATCAGCCTCATTTGACTTTAATTTGAACCCGTATGGAACACATTGGGTTGTTTTTAGGTTGACTTAAACTCTAAAAGTTTTTAGGTTAACTTGTGTATTCAAATCAAATTACAATTTTTTTTTTCCAAATCTAATTGGATATTCCAAATTTCTATCTAAATATTAAATATTTGGAGTTAATCTTCCATAACTCGCCAAGACATTTGACGAATCAGTTATTAAATCCTAAAATAAAAAATTACCATTTGCCTATACCTAAAGCAACTGATATTTTAATTACATATTTGTAATCTAAGTTATTTTTTTCACTTCTTTTGCCCCATCTTGTGATATTTGTAGGCGGGCTGGGCTCTTGGGTCGTGTTTTAACGGGTTTTTTGGACGGACTTTGGGCCGGATAATTGATTTGGGGGCAAATACAAACTCTCTTTTTAAGGATATTGGGCTCGGACGGATCTATCAGATTTCAGACTTATTTTTTTTAAACAGGGTAATGGGAACTGTGAGTAACTCCGCCCATGAACACCCCTAGTTAAATTTAATGAACCTCTTAGTGAGTTTTATGAGTCCAATTAAAACCAACAAAATCTAACAAATTTAACAATGGTCAGATCGAACTCAAAATGATAATATAAAAAATGAGAGGATTTAAAATACTACATGGTGGAATGATCATGACAATAGCGCGATCGTGACAAAGGTGGCAGGTAGTGGTGACTTTGGGGATTGTTGCTAGTGGTGGGTGGGTCATGGGGGGATTGTTGCTAGTGGATGAATGAATACAGATTGTTTTTATGTTGGTTAATGAGTTTAATTCAACATGTAATGAATTAATTTCTTTTAATTAATTTATTAAGTAGAGGTATGTGTTGGATCGAAAAAGAAAAAAAAATAGAGGTACGTGAAAGAATGAATTTTTTATTTATTTTTTGGTAAGTGAAAGAATGAATAAAGATACCGTAAAGTTATAGATAATGATAAATCCGTTCAGTGTCCTAGACAAAAGCATATTTATATTAATGACCCAAACGAAAAAAAAGAAATAAACTAATTAGGAGGGATTAGTTCTTCAGAATTTTCTTTGTGATCCAGGAGACTGCCCAAAAGCTGCTTCCCACGATCTTGTACCTGTTTTAGAGAAATTTTTATTAGTCTTACACCCAAGAAATAAACAAAAATAAACAGTTTTAAGAGAGAAGAAATATACATAAACTAGCAATATGCCCTCCACTTTAAGACACTCTATAACCTAGCTATTGTAATGAATGATTAATTGCCCTAGAAGCAAACTATATTTACATTGTGAAACTGTGTTAAGGAGAAAAACTCACGTCTTAGGAGAAGAATGAACCCGGTTCTAACTTCATGTATTGTTTTGAAATATCTTATGTTCTAAGATTATTTGAATTTAAATCAAAATCATGACGCTTCCACGGGGTAAAGAAGGAGTTATCAACTTCTAAGAATGACATGAATTTCGAGTAATCAATATTCAGGCTTGAATCCACTTGATCATGATTCACCATCCTCCATTGTTGTAGTTGAACTTGTTGTATTTCTTCTTGTTGTTTCTGCCATTGTTGGAACATCCTTGAAAAACTCTCTTCAGCAAGAATCACCTTTCTTTGTTGTGCTTGTTGTTCTTGTTCTATTTGCAGCTGCAACATCTGTATCTGCATCCGTTCCCAGTGCTGTTGCAGCTTCATGCATATGTAATCTGTCATGAGAAAGTTTTCCATGATCAAAAGCTCAAAACTATTACTATAATCATTCTTTGCCTGTGTAAATTATTTGCCTCGGTTAGTGTACTGGACTATTATATATAGTGTTAAATTAACTAGGAGTATACCTAGGGTTAGCACTATCTAGTTCTAAGTTATTGGCTTATTGAGTATAACTAGGATTAGGACTATCTAGTTCTAACTTTTTTGGCTTGTCGAGTATAACTAGGATTAGGAAAGGACTTTGTGTTTCGATCTAAAACTGTTTTAGTTTTAGATGCCATCCATAATAGGAGTCTAAGTCCCACCTGATGGAGAAAAATTTGTGTACGTTATTACGTTATTATGTTGACATAGTATAATTGTCCAATAATAAAACAATACGTGAACAAGTGGATCCCACATAATTAAATAACTGTTCATACATGTCATGTAGTAATTACCCATAAGGAACTCACTTACCCATATATTGTTTTTTTATTGGACGGTTACGTCTTGTCATTACACCCAATATTTACTCCACCTTATGACCACACCCAATGTTATAGGAAACACAAAATTATTGGGGTCCATCCTATCGATGACTGCAATTGGTTAGCCACGGGACATGTAAGCAAGGAAAACAATATCCTTATAATATCTGATCATCCATGTTCACTCACTATTTAGTCGAATTATGCTTTACACCACTTAGAATTTACATCTTATTACCATGTTAAACTATCCATTAAAAGGATCATGCTTTCAAACTTTAAGTCACGTTTCAGTTAAATTTTTATGTCCCAAATGCAAATGCAAGATTTACATAAAAAGTATCACGTGAGCATCCCATGTCTCAATTAGAGGATTAATTTTGAGCAAGATGACATCACATTAAATTGTAATCTTCACGTTGAACGGATTGACCCTTTTATTATGGGTTGGAGCTCATAAAAAAATTCTTTTTTTTTTTTTTTGAGACACTATTTTTAATAATATTTTACGGGCCATGAAAGCGAAGAGAAGCAGAGAAGATGGAGAATTTGAAGCGCTGGCCATGGCCAACTGTTTGATGCCCTTCTCTCGTCTCAGTGAAACTAAGGCCGGCCATATGCAAGGTCACTAAAGCACAGGTTTTAGCTCCAACTAATGGTATGTTTGGCTAGGATGATTAAAAATAAAAGAGATAGAAAAGTAGAAGGGGTGGACTTTCTATCAATGAAAGAAGAAAATCATTTTTCTCTCCTTTTATTATGACATAAAAATTCAAAACCCGTAATTTGCTATATTATCGAATAAATATATTTTAATTTGACTAGTATAGAAAAATGTAATATCAGTTGGAAAAGTGAAAAATATGAATGTATTTTGTCGAGTTAAACATGGAAAATGAATTCTAGAATGTGTTGAAAAGTTAAAAAAAAAAAAAAAAAAAAGTCCGTTTGTAGTGTTTAAACCAATTACATAAATACATTAGTTAGTGTGCAGACATTTCGAAAGGCAAAAAGGTTGAAGGGTATTTTACTAAATTAACTTGGCCCCAATCAAAACTATTTTTCTCTCCCCAACTTTCTACCTAAAACAGACAGATTAAAAATGGTGGGCGAAATTGATGCGGTTTCCTCTCATTTCTACTTTCTACTACCTTTTCCTTTGAAATCAAACAATGAAAAAGTTTTCCTTATGTCCCATTTTTGTCCACCTAATTTTCCATCATATTAAACAAAAAATAAATAAGAGGCCTCAAATTTATAGGTCTATATAACATAGTCTATATCAAAAATTTAAATCTATAAAAATTAAGTCCAAGAAAAAACTCAACCGAAGAAAAAATCTTAGTAAAATAATTTGGGTCCACAAGTCTAGTCCAATGACCCACAAAATTAAATTTGACAAAAAAAAATTATAATGTTGAAAAGGTTTAAAAAGTAATGTACATTAAACATCACTAGTCATTTTGTTTCTCATACACACACGTTCTCACTCGCTATATTTTTGTCCTTATTTAAAATTAAAACACAAATCAAATTTTTTATTTTTATCCTTTCCCCCTTTTAATCCCCCTTTTTATTTTTTTTATCTATTATGAGTGAAATACTTTATAAAATAACTAAAAACATAAAATATTAATCTACTCATTGGTAAGAAACACGCAAAGACTATGATCGTTGCGAGATACAACACTTTGGTCCTTTGAATAGGTGGAGACACAGCCGGGTTGACCTTAAAGTTCCGACTATTAAAATAGTCGCCTAGATACCCAAAAATTTAGAACTCGAATATAATGTACAGGCCTTTGTTTAGTTTTATGTTCTGCGATCATTTTGAATGTACTAAATTATGTATGTAAAATTTATAAAAAACCCTAAAATATAAGAAAATCTTCTAAAAAAGCCTAAAAGTACTGACTTCTAGTGTTATATGTAGCACTTTCTCAAATTCCTTTCACACTCTTTTTCTCCACTCTCATTACCCCTTTCTAAATGTTTATCTCCCTCCCACTCTAATTGTCTTACT